ATGATAAAGACCCTGTAACACGAACACTTTTGAAAGGTGGACCTTTCTTCTTCAGGGTCCAACTGGGAATGATGGTGTAATGGAATGAGTGATATATAACGGGAGTTGGGTGGTGTCATGGAGGTTTTCCAGGAAATATTTAGTATATTTTTCCATACTGTTTTGTTTCATTTCCAGTATAATGTGGTTGGTGATAAGAGCATTAAGTAAAAATGTGTTAGGGATATCTTGCATTAGAAATGGTTAAAAAAAAAAGAAAGAAATATAAGTATACTTAAGCATTTAAGTAAAATTAAGTTAACACCTGGAGACTGATTGAAAAAGAGATTTTAAGCTAATTTATTTATACAAACGGGTATAGACAATTATCTTAAATAAATAATAAGTTTTAGAAAAATTAGGGTTCAAACTACATGATAGAAATTATATTTTTCAACAGAGATGAAACCAATGATTGGAGATCACTGATTCCAGTATCTTGATTGATTCCAGAAGATTGAACAGCGTTTAGACTAGTGACCCAATAAGCTTTTTTTTATTTCTCTATCAGCTTTAGTTTTGAATCCTGTTTCAATGCTGGTGAGAGCAACATCATTAATGGAATGACCGGGTTGGCTGAATTGTACCAGAAATGAAACACGCTTGCAACGCCCTCCAGTGGGGCACAGCAGTATGTCTGCGGACTTACAACGCTAAAAAGCGAGTTTCGATACCCGTGGTGGGCAGAGCACAGATAGCCCATTGTGTAGCTTTGTGCTTAACTTCAAACAAACAAATACTTGTAACGGTATGTGGAAGAATATACTAAACATTACCTGGAAAACCAGATGCTGTTCATGACATTACTCAACTCCCTAAATAAATAAATAAATATATATATATATATATATATATAATACCACTCATTGGATTACAACACCATTCCTAGTTTGCCCCTGAAGAAGAAAGGTCCATCTTTCAAAAGCGCTCGGGTTACAGGGTTTTTCATCATCTTGTATCACGACTTACTGAACCCATGTATTTTTCTGACATCATGAATATATAAATATAATAGTGCTGTCTGTTATATGTCTATGTAACTACTTTGCAGGGTGTGGATGTATCTTCACCAAAATTGATATGGAGGTTCATTAGATCCCTGCAGGGGTACATAAAAATTTTCAGTTTTATATTTTGCAGTTTTTATGGGCTTTTTGCATTTCTTACCACTACCTCGCCCCCTGTTGATGGATCTTCACCAAATTTTGTGCACAGATACACATAACTTTGCAGTTTCACATTTTTTTACAATTACATATGATGGAAGCAACTTTTCATGTCCTAAGATAATGCTTTCATTAAACATGAATTTACATAACTTCAGTACAAAGGATGGGTACTCCAGCTAGTATAAAATATGATAAAGACCCAATGTCGACACAGTACAGATTCACAAACGCTACTGTATATAAAGTATCAACACATTTGACTGTAATTCACTCCCAACTTCAGTGTTATCCACGATTATAAACTTCAAATTTGAACGAAAGTTTCCATTTGATAGTAACAAGTCACTCGCAGCTTAGACTATCTGAAAAAATACTCACAGTTACACTTTCAACACAACGTGTAACTGGATCTTGCTCTTTAATTCTATTTTTAAGTTAATGTAACACGGTGAAACTAACATTCACGGTTTACAGAACTCACTACACTACTAGTTCTAAGTTTTGCTGAATTAACTTCAAAGCATTTTTTAAGCATGCTTAACTAATACCTGATCAAGTTTTTGTCATCTTGACTTTACAAAACTATATCAAGGTGTCTTACCCCCGGTTGGTACTTTCAGCTTCCTTCTGCATCACTTCCAATATCTTCTGACAAGCTAATGAACAGTTTTCTGGGTTTCCGTATACGGTAATCACCTGAATCGTTACAAGTTACGAACGAGGTAAGATATACAGGGTACAACAAGTGAATAAACAACCGACATCACTTGATGTTTACAAAATCTGGTTAGCTAAAACGTTTTTTTTAATTTCTGAAATAATTACTGAAGAGCACGAGAAACTTGTCAAAAACATGTTGGTTATCCTGATATAAAATCTAAATCTTATGATATTTTTTTAGTATTTGGTTATTTGTCATTAGTGTTACCATCTGTATAATTTATGTATAGTTTAATACAGATGTGTTAGGCATCAAATGAAGAAAAGTACGTATTCCATTTTTTATTTTTTTATTTTGCTTTCCTCATATTAACTATTTGATGGAAAAAAACTGGTTTGGTTTTTTAGGAAGAATACAAAAAATCTTATAACAATGAGAACAAACAAAAATGACATTCACTGACTTTTTCCAAAGAGCCGGCATTTTCTTTACGGTGTATATCAACCCTATTTAAAAATAAATAAAAGAAAGGAAAAACAATCATGATAATTTCAACAAAATATTTCACACATGAAGATACCGTCATAAAAACTTGAAAATTAATGACTCGGTTTCTTCCGTTTAACCAACTGTCTTTTTGTAAAGTTTTGTTTCCATACAAAAATATTCATTACACACATTTATAATTAACACTGAATCGTAGAAACATTTCACCAAAAATTGATGACACTAATGACAACTTTTTTTCAATACAATTTTAAAACTTCCTACATTTCTGAACGTTTCTTTTTAAATGCAAAATCTCCGTCAAGTTACGAGTCAATAACAACAGATCTATCAAACAAAGATTAGTAGAAGTTACTAAAATCTCTTTCCTAAGAAACTTAGACCGACGAGTATGAAATTCTACGCCCACCAATTGTTGTTTTTTTAGCATAAAGATACACAATGGACTAATGGTACTCTGCCCACCATAGAAAATTGAACCTTGGACTTTGATGTCTTAAGTCTGGAGACTTACTACCGACCTACTCCCAAAATACATTTATCATTGATAAACATAAGCAAAGTTCTAATAATTGTTTTGAAAGTTGTAAAATCTTGTGAGAGCAATACCTATTGTCTGTTAGATGCATACGATTTCGAGCCATTCTGTATTAACAAGTTTTAGCCATACAACAATTTAAGTGTTCAATAAAGATTTAATTAACTTGCAAATAACGAAGATAATCTTCCATTTACTTCTTTAAGATTACTTTGCCGTAAGCAGTCGTCTCTAACAGACATCAACTTCAGTTCTTAGAGTCAATAAACCTATATCTGCTAAACAGAATTTACGATATCTTTGTTGAAAATTCAGTTCAGAAAAATTAATTTTCTCACCTGGCCCTCGACTGCTGAGTTATTTGTCTTATGGTACCACCAGCTCGCCCAATAATTGCACCAACCATGTCACTAAAGACAAGTATTCTAAAGAAAAGAACCTTAAAGTTGATTACATGACAGTAGCATGAAATACTTTTGATATAATCCTGGTTATTATAAATACAAGTAGTAAAAAAAACAATGTGTTGTAGGTTTGTTCAGCAAAGAATGAACATTCTAGAATAATCAAAATTAAATTAAAAATTTGAACATTAGTTCACATAAAAAAATTACAATTCTTTTTCAATAAAATATGTCCAGAATTATTATTCTAATATTAATATTTCTAACTTCAAGTATCTATTTGTTTAATCCAATAGTATTAGTAACTGTCAACAGATGGCACTAAAATTAGTTTTGTATTATTTCTAGTTTCATCAAACGAAAGATATTCCAATTTGTCTCAGTAAGCTTCAAACTACAAGTGATAAATAACAGAAAATAGCATGTTCATATTTCAGATTTATCTTCCATTGAGGATTTATTACTCACATTTTGTCCTCAAGAGTTTATTTTGTTTGTTTGTTTGTTAACTATAATGCTACACAATGAGCTATCTGTGCTCTGTTCACCAGATGTATCAAAAACCCAATTTTTAGTGTATACTAGTTCTTAGACTTACAACTAAACCACGAAAGAAGAAAGCAATTTTATGAAACATTAAAAAAACTAAACATATGTTGTTAAAACAAATATAACCAAATTGCTGAACAAGGTTTTATTTGTTGTAAATAAGTTTTTTAACTCCAGATAGATGGTCAATCTTTACAAGTTGATACCAACCTTTTGTTGGTGTGCTAACAGATAGTTAGTCAATCTTTACAAGTTGGTTATTGACCTTGTGTTGGTGTGTTAACAGATAGATGGTCAATCTTTACAAGTTGGTTATTGACCTTGTGTTGGTGTGCTAACACACACATGGTCAATCTTTACAAGGTGATACCGACCTTGTGTTGATGTGCTAACAGATACATGGTCAATCTTTACAAGTTGATACCAACTTTGTGTTTCATACATGTTCATAATATCCTGTTCATTCAACAGGAAAAGAAGCCATAAAACACATGTAAACACAGTTTAAGAAAAACACTACAACATTTCAAGAAACAATTGAATAGAAGACAAACTGTACTAACAGTTTCTTTAATACTGAGGAAATTCTCATCTTGTGCACTTGATCAAAACTGAAATATTTCTAGACTGGTATTGAGGAACCGTTACTAATTCCCGAATAAGTAAAGGCCATCTTTCAACTACTACATTCATATCTCAGTTTTTATCATTACTGCCAATATTTTTAACAAAACCTGTCAGTCTCCTGAAAATAATTCATATAAATTCAAATTCTTTGAAAAAAAGGACATATAAACTAATATCTCTTCAGGGTTTTTGTCATCTACTACATGTACATATCCTATAAACTAAAAAAACTTACAAACATACAGGAGTTTTTCTATACAAGCAAATGTTATTGACTCTTAGTACCAAGCTTTAAATAAAAATTTCTGTAATGTTGTACACTTTTTACTGAATAACTAACTTTTTCTCCTCTGTGAGTAAATCTATTATACTAGAACAAACCTTTATAAGTGCTTCTATTCTCACTGGTAGTACAAAAGGTATTAAGTACGACTTACCGCAGAGGAAAATCTGCTGGGCGTAGAGGATTTGGTGAACTCCCTGAGTAAGGAAAGGGGCGAAAAGTGCCTCTGTTTGTGCGGCCCCCACGACCTTGTTCCATTACAAAATCTACTTTTAAATGTGAACTTTCAAATTCTAATCCGTTAAGTTCAGTGAAAGCTCTGTAGATGGAAAAGAACAAAAAAACAAAACAGTATAATACAAAAATGCATAAATATTAAATTGTACCTAAACTAGTGAATTACAAATGTTTATAATTGTTATCCTAAATCACTAATTACTAATGTGTACTAATGTTGATTCAAAGATATTATCCATTTCAATCTGCCAAGTAAAATTATTGTAAGTAAATAAGTAATATACCAAAATAATTTCCCACCCAAACTAAAACCCACAGATATATATATAGACACACACGTAGTATTGTAATTAATTATGGTATTAGATGACAAAGTGGGCGTATAGTGCAAATTACAGATGATACAATAACATTTTTTGTAGTAAAATAACATGAATAAAAGAGTGAAAACTGTTGTTATGGCAACCAAACAACACAAATAAAGAGTGAAAACTGTTGTTATGGCAACCAAATAACACGAATAAAGAGTGAAAACTGTTGTTATGGCAACCAAATAACACGAATAAAGAGTGAAAAACGGTTGTTATGGCAACCAAATAACGCGAATAAAAGCGTGAAAACAGTTGTTATGGCAACCAGATAACGTGAATAAAGGGTGAAAACTGTTATGGCAACTAAATAATGCAAATAAAGAGTGAAAACTGTTGTTATGGCAACCAAATAACATGAATAGAGAGTGAAAACTGTTGTTATGGCAAGCTCACACACCAAATATTAATGTTCTGCATAATATATTCATTCATATCTGCATATTTGCTGAATATAATTTCAATTACATATGCACATTTATCATGTTTCCGTATTTATTACCAAATACTTTACATAATCAACTTTAATAATATCATACTTATGTGACTTACTGATGTGCTTGGTCTGGCGTATTGTATCTTACAACAACGGTGAAAGAGTTTTCAGATTCAGCTGGACCTACACGAAGCAAAACAGTTTCATTTTTGAAAAGTTCTTTACCAGGTTTTAATTTTCTCTGAACAGTTACACGCAAATAATAGCTGTCAATTTCTGAGATTCGACTAAAACTGATCAGTGAAATATTTAAATGATTAAAACTGAACTTAATATTTTAACCAATCAAACAAGAAACTGAACAAAAAATTAAAGTTTCTCTCACCAAAAAAAAACTCACAAAACTAAACTTTTCAAACAACTAAGAAGTAGATTGGTATTTTTTCTTTGATACATCCAGGGTATTTCTACAAATTTACGAGTAAAAGCAGTGGACAGTATTTTATAATATGTCAACCACACTCCCATATCCAATGCCAATGATGTCTTTCATCTAATACCAGTGCTCAGCAGGGTAGTGGTCGTCTAGGCACTATGTTAACTGTTAAAAGTAAGTTTATAGCTCTACACAATATATTATCAATTATTATAATTACCATCTTACAGTTATTACAATTTACTTTCACTGATTTTATGAAAAAGACTATAGGTGGTGTTAGATTGTTGCAAGTTTTTAAGTTCATGCACATCACCATTAAATAATGAGGCAGGTACGAATAACATTATGACAAGTTTTTTCTTTTGCAAGTTAAAAATCCAATTTTGAAGGTTTTTCAGTTGAACTTTTAGAGGGCTAGACAAATGGGACAGTAACTCAATTCTGTAAGTTTTAAAATAATCATTTTAAAAGCTCACTTTTCAGTTGAGATTATACAATAACTACTTATACTATAAAGAGTTGTGGAAAATCCCAACCCTCAACATGGTTGAAAATACTATTAACAGCAAGAGTTAGTCAACCGACAAAACATTACATTCTGATCTTTATATCTAAGAAAAGTATATTTAATTAGCTGCAGCCATTAGCAGGTTGATTTCTAGTCTCACTCAAGCTTGCTCTTTTCAGAGGTTAATATTAACTATATAGCTTTTATATAAAACGACAAAGGTAAAAACATTAATTGAAGTTTCCTACATATGAAAGCCACAACTAATACAGTCCAGTACCACAAGTAGCATCCCCAAGTTAACTTTTGTGTGAAACAAGTGTTAGGTAACTCGTCATGTGATTTGATATGCAGATATCTACTACGGGAGTCCACAAATGTCCATTTGGTAAGTTTACACTCTCATAAATTATTGTCCACATCAATAAGGAGGAAATTCTGACCACGACGCTTGAAAAATACAACATAAATGACCAAGTCACTATCCTGATATTCTTATGTATGCCACAGAACATGATGGTCAGTGTGGCCACAAATTCTGATAGCTACCCGTACCAGGATGCTACCACTGCCATGAATCTAGAGTTTGGTCCAGTCACTGTTCACATGTGTAAGAATAATCTCTCTGTGATCATGACTTTTACCCACGTCTTGTTTGACCAATACAAATGGTCATTTACTGTTTTGTGGCAATAGATTAGGGGATGGGCTCCCAAACCTTCTCAATCTTGATCTTACTACGAATCATAACCAAATCCCAACTAAGCGTGACTAAACCGTGACTGCGGTTTTCCAGTGGTACATCCCAACTAAGTGTGACTAAACCGTGACTGCGGTTTTCCAGTGGTACATCCCAACTAAGTGTGACT